AATACTAAAAATAATTTTTTTTTTTGAATATATATATATATATATATATATATACACACACACATATAATATCCTATGATGTCTACCCATTCATTGCATTGAAGCATTTCCCTTTTTCAAGATACTTAGTAATAAATTCATAATATTTCTCATATACACTAGTCATCTCGAAATATAAATATAGTCAATAAGTCATTAATTTCAAATGAGAAATAAGTCAAACAACTATAATCTTGAAATTAAAAGTGCAAGTATCCAATTCGGAGTATGAGTTAATGACTTAATTCGGATATAGCCATATAGGCCCATTATTTGATTACCAAGTAAAATGTAGTTTTAGATTTTTATTTTTGTTTAGAATTTTATTAAGTAAATTTTGGGATTTTTTTTAAAAAAGTTGATACGGGTATCCGTCAGGATACGAGTATCGGAAACTTTCAAAAAATTACAAAAAAAAATGGAAACTTTTAAAAATTGCAGATACGGCCCGGGAACGTACGGTACGGGTATCCTAGAGTATCGGATACGGGAACGTATCGGATTCGCCGATACGCTACCCTAGCGAAGTATCCGTGCTTCATAGGTCAGCCGTGCAGTCAGTGACAAACTTATAATTTTGGAGAATTTCACGGATTCTCTTAAATGAGTATTGAGTCAATTTTGATGAGCACCGAGTCTGTTCTTTTGGGTATTAGGAGTCAATTTAAGTTTGGATCCCATTTTATTGTTCAAATTGGACTTTGCACCCCATTTTTAAAAAACTTTGTTTTTGCACTCCAGTCTCATATGAAAAGACAAAATTGCCCCTTCATTAACAATTTTGTTGGCCTTCAACATATTCCTGATCGAGGACTTTTTTGTCTTTTCATGTGGGATTGGGGCTCATAAACAAACATTTTAAAAAACGGGTTGCAAAGTCCAATTTGGACAATAAAATGGGGTGCAAACTCAAATTACCTCATATATTAACTAATAAGCTAAAAATAAAGATTATCAAACACGACCTAATGTTAATAAAACTATAGGTTAATAAATATTATCGTGAACGTTAATTGAATATAATTTGTTTGACAAGATGTTTGATATAGGTTTTAATAATGCTACTAATAATATTGTTCTTAATTGTTATACCTAGATTGGATGAATTATGTGGTCCTACTTTGATGAGTATATTTTTTTTTATCAATGTTGTGCATGTTATATTATTAATTTATTTGCCAAAGATGGATTAGCCGTACTAGCTAAGAAATGTGCTCGAGAAAGTTAAGGGATATTAAACTTATATGGATTAGTACTCAACTTAAATTGCACTCGTGTACGTGTGTAAATCTAAATGTGTTAGATATTGTGTGTTTTCCCAAACAATTTAATATTGGAGTAGTACTTATAAATTAATATTTGTGCTTCTTAGATTTAGGGCCCATTCCTTGCTTTGATTTTGAAAGAAACTTGTAACTATATTATAGAACCGGTTGAGTTAGAAACTTGTAACATCATGGAAAATTTTGCAACGTGTTAGTTTATTTTCGGAACATCAGTAGCGGGTATTCCCGCATTTCCGCTTGTGCTTTCAAAAGAAAAGTTTTTACAATATTGTTCCTACGTTCCGCCTATATAAGCTATTGCTACCGTTCTTGGTCCTCGTTTGAAACTTGCTAGGTATAAAACATTTTTAAAGTCGTGTTATAGTTGTTTCTACGTTGAGTTGCCTATGTACGACGACAACTCTATTGATGTTCAAGCGCAATTCAACAAGGTTAGTAATATATTTCAATTTATTTAATGAGTTTCATGTACAATATGCTAGTGTACCCCCTCACCCGAAATCAGTTACTTCTTCATTTAAAAATCTAAAATATCTAATTTTTTGGAGAGAGAAAAGTAGATCTACTCATTTCGTTGCACAAAGCTCAGCTCGATTCATGAGTTTTGTTTATATCTAAACGTTCAAGTTGAGTATGAAGAGGGAAGGCTTTGACATTCTAAAATGGTGGAAGGACAAACAAGAAATGTTTCCGATTTTATCAACAACGATTGGCGTGGAACAAGAGTTTAGTGAAGCCGGCAACACCGTGACTGATTATAGAATGGGGTTGAACGCACAATCTATTGAGAAGCTCATTTGCTTCTACGTTTGGTCGAATACTCGTCATAGAACACCCCAAATTAACATAGCACTGCTCTGCCACCTCATGAACGAAATGACATCTGGCTCCTGAAGGAGTAGTTTCGACGAAAAGGAAATGTATGTAACCAAGGTTGTTAAACTCGAGATCCTAGCACGGATCGGACGGGGTCTAGGAGATCGTAACTCGGGGATCGTAACTCGGATCGTAAGATCCTACCATGCAATATAATATTATATATATACATATATCATACACACACACATTTACACACACATATATATATATACAATTTATTTCTATGTAAACACTGAATTAATTAATATTAATAATAATAAAAATATAATGTCAAGCACAACACTCAAGGCAATAATATAAAACACTTAACATAACAAATAATATTCTTAGTAATCTTACTAAAGTGGCTTTATTAAAGTGGACTAGAGTCTACAGAAGCGGACGATTTTAATAAATGAAGACAAGTTGTTCTGTAACGAAGGTCCACAGACCCTTTGAAGTCTTAGAGCATCTCCAATGGGGATGTCTACTCTCTTCCACATTCTTACACATGGGTCCCATTTTTTATCTCACAAATTTTATGTGTAGGACCTATATATCTATACATTTATTTTATTTTTCATTTTTCTATATCACTTTTAACCCACTTTTCATCCACTTTTACTTCTCGATTCCCGTGTAAAGTCTATTTGTGGACATTGTCATACACATTGTCTACAAATTACTCCTATCTCTCTCTTCCTTTTCATTTTTCATACATACCACTTTCTCCATATTAAATTAAAATAATCATTCTATCTCTATCTCTCTCCTATGCCACGTAGGATAGACTTTACTCCAATCCACTACCCCATTGGAGATGCTCTTAGTAAAGTGGACTACATTTGCAACTAAGGCGGACGACAGAGAATAGAGAACGAAGGTCTCTATATTTTAATAGAGGTCGACGGCTGATGTAAAACCGATGAAGCAGGAGATTAACGTTGCAAGTGGCGCTTGGCCTTCGCTCATCGAAAGTCGATGTATTTAATTTATTTTTTTCAAACTCGCCGTTCCAGACTTCATCGCACCCTTCGTTTCCCGTTTTTTGAACTGAGAAGACGCAGCTCGTGAAGATCGGCGAGTCGTACGATTTACGACTTTACCCGACGATCCGGCGATCCCAGGACGATTTGCGATCTTTGTAGCGATCCAACTCGATTCTCCCTCTTCTGATCGTAAACTCATACGATCCTACGAGTTGGATCGCGATCCTAACAACCTTGTATGTAACTATTCTCAATGTAATGTTTCAAATATGTCTACATTTCATTTTTAATGTGCAACATTTTTTATTTATATTAATAATTAATAATACTGTAAGTAAGAATATGAAATTTAAAAAATGCCCGAACCGGTTGGGTGCTCGAGACCGGAGTGGGACCTGAATTATCCGGGTCGGTTCGGGGCCTCCCTGAATTTGAACCGGGACCGGGCCGTCCGTAATAGCCCAAGCTCAATGTAATTGTACAATCGGTTTGAGACATTCTAACATGATATTGATATTATTTGTATCCAATCACCAGCCATTAAAAGCCCGTAAAATGTTTATTTGTTTATTCTTCGCCCCTTCTCTATGTAGAGTCCTCCACCATTCACACAGGGTATGGATCCGGGTTGGGCCGGGCCAAAACCGGGCTCGGGCGATATCGGTTCTTGAAAAGTGGAGCTTGGTACCGGCCCTGTAAGCTCCAATACCAGTTCCGGGCCCAAATAGTACCGGGTCCAGGTCGGTACCACTCATTTAATTAAAAAAAATTAAAAAATGCTATTGAGCCCAGACTGGGTCCAAAAAATCAAGTCCAAAGCCCACACCCCTTATAACCATTGCTCCTAGTACCAGGCCAGTACCGAGCCTAAACAGCACCAGGCCGCCCAGGCCCAGTACATCCATAAGTTCATCTTCTCTATATCACCCTTTTCTCGTAAATGCATTTTGATTTGGAGGTGATTGAGGATAGTTATACTCCGTAGAATCCTTATTCTACGATACTAATAGCAAAATAATCATCGAGTTCATTGAAGATATTATACATTTATACCAATTGATATTAATATGAGGATCCACCGTTATTTTTGGGGAGAATTTGACTTTGCACCCCATGTTTTGGGTGATATTTGACTTTGCAACCTATTTTCAAAATCATTAATGTATGCACCCCAATTCACTATAAAATCATTCGACTTTGCACCACATTCTTTCACAATTTTTGTGCTAATGTGATGCATACATTAATGATTTTGAAAATGGGATCCAAAGTCAAATATCACCCAAAACATGGGCTGCAAAGTCAAATTCTCCCTTATTTTTTTTATAAATAGAACTTTATTAGAAGACAAATGGAAAGTACATGGAAAAGAGGGGGGAGAAAAACAAAGGAAAGTACATGAGGGCCTATCGTTAATGTTAAAATCAATGATGTTGAGACTTGAGACAAATGATGTTTTTACTTAGACAGTTAGACCGTTTTCAGTCCCAAACCAGACTTCTATAGTTATAACCCTAAGCCTAGCATGAACCCAACATTTTGACTTGGTTAGGTAGAAGGCATCTCCGCAGGCCGCAGCGACTCCACTAGAGAGCAATGGCGCTGGAACTCTGGAAGTCATCCTGAAAAGATCCCTCAACCGCCAATTCTGGTTGCTATCCAAAATTGTGTCCACCCCTACACTAGGCCTACTTTGAACACTTGCATTTTGTTTTCAAATTGCCTATGCTTGGACAGTTAAAATTGCTATTAACTCCCTAACCACACAATGATCCAAATGATGCCAAAGCAAATCTACCACTCACAGGCATGGAGAAAATCTAGAACACTGACAGCAATTCAATATGTGCAGTAAATTAAAGATGATTTGCAAATTGCAATAGTCTTCAGGTTTTGTCTAATTGTTTCCCAATAAAATGGAAACACTACATCACACACACCGGAGGAAAAGGAAAGTAAGAAGCAAACCATTTGGAAATATTGAAGTTTGTTGCATTTTACATTTTAGAAATAAGACAGAGTTACAAAGGTGAACGGCATTGACCACAAAGCCCTTTCGTGAGAACAAAATAAGGAACCTGGCCAGTTGAGCTTTTTTCCAATCCTTAGATTGAGATTCAAAACGATTGGGAGCATCACTTTGTAGAAGTAGGGCATGTTGTGTGTTAAATCTACAGCAACCTTGACCAATGTGTAATTGTTGGTGCCATGCATTTATCCCTTGGGACCCTGAAACATTCATCAAACATGAAGTTTTATCAATTAGATAAAAGGACTTACCTCAAGAGACATCACCCCTCCTATAAACAGATGTTAGTTTTTACCTTATAAGGCGGTGTAGCTGGTCTCTGTGCATTGCCAAATCCAGATTTTCCTTTCTTCTCAGAGGCCTTCAAGATTTGGAATGAGCATGTTAATGTGTCATCTACACTCATCATGGCACCAGCATTGTCAAACTCACCGCAGTAATTTGGTGCAGAAAATATGGTGACCAGCTGTCGGTTTGAAAAGAACTCGTATCCATCTTCCACAACCTGAGAAGTATTAAACAAACAAGAAATTTCAGGAAATTGATATCTGTGACATAAACCACTGACTGGTTTATTGATTATCCCTCTGACACATTAAATTTACTATGGAACAATATATAAAGCACAAATGCTAAAGCTACCCCATTTTGTACCCCCCCCCCCCCCCCCATGTTTGTGGTTCACAAAAGCACTTCATTAAAATGGAGCAATTAATTTAATTGGGTTGGGTTTTTGTGAGCCACAAACATAGGGTGGGGTACAAAATGGGGTACCTCTAGCATTTCTCTATAAAAAAACTACTAATAACAATATTGCTATGAACATGATGATTTGCTACTAAAGAAACTGATGATGATTCATGCTCTTTTGTACAGACAGTGGTAGACAGATTGTATGCAATGATCTTAAAAGAAAAAACAAAACCAATTCTTTTGAAAGATAAAAGACCATACCAAATTATTATGGAGTCCATGTTTAAAATTATGTAAATGAAGCTGGACTGGAAGCAGAAACCCAGCTCACATTTTTTATAAAGGAAAGTGGCAAAGAGGGGATAGCTAATTTGTTCCGATTCATATATTACCTGGTGAGCTCGGCAAATGAGATCAAGGTCATGCTCCTCAAGAAATTCAGTGACCTTATCTGCTCCAAATGTATATGATACTCCCCGATCATTCTCTCCCCATCCTTCAATATCTCTGTCAGGATCAGCCCACAACAAGTCACATAAGAGACCTTGGTCAGGTACATCTACAGGACGGGGAATCTTTCTAATTTGATCCAAGTGCTTCAGCTCAGGAGATAGTCCTCCATGCATGCATAGTATCTTCTCATCAATAAGGGCCGCAACAGGCAAGCAGTTAAAGCACTCTGTAAACATCTTCCAAACACGAACATTATACCTCCTCTTGCACTCATCAAAGAAGCCATATATCCTATTGATAGAAGCACATTCATGGTTGCCTCTTAGGAGAAAAAAGTTCTCCTTGTATTTAATCTTGTACGCAAGGAGAAGGCTAATTGTTTCTACACTCTGCTTACCACGGTCAACATAGTCTCCTAAGAATAGATAATTGGCCTCAGGCGGATACCCACCATACTCAAACAACCGCTGAAGATCAGAGTACTGACCATGAATATCACCTGCAGAGTACACGGGGCACTACTTTTTAACTCCGTTACCAATCCTTTTATATCATACTGCATAATACATCACTGGGCAATCTTGTGATTATGAACACAGATTACTAAATTGTTCATATTTGTTTTATACTTTTATGTCATCACCAAAGAAACAACATGTAGTTGAGTGACCAAAAGCAAAGCTTTGAACTTTGTTGCCAAAACAGGACAACCACTTCACCTATAAAACTAACAATACATATAGCCAGAACTTAAGCTAGTGTTCAATTGATAAGCCACAAACAAACAAAGGACAACATACTATTTTACACATTAAACGAAAAACAAAATAAAAAAGACAGAAGAAAATTTGTGGTTCAATTTACCACAAATCTTGATGGGTGCTTCGAGCTCGAGAAGATTAGGCTGGCTGAGAAATATCTTTTTGGACGCCACACAAAGCTCCTTAATCTCTGACTCTGTCAACTGCACCTGCTTCGGCGCCCTCACTGTCTTCGCATCAAGCAGCTTCCTTATAATGTCATCAACCAAACCCTCATCCATGGCAGGCTCTAATCGCTAACTTCTCAATCTCAGCCTAGAATCTTCAACTAGTGGAAGAGGCCGAGAATAGAGAAGCAAAATCCTGCTTTTGAAATCCACAGTCGCACCGAAACGGAAAGCGCCGAAATAAGGAACGGGGTAACCCGGAGTTTATGGTCATAACTCATAATAAGGATTTTTAAATAGGAACCCTATATACGTTGATGTTGGAAAGCACGCGCTCACACTTTCATCTGTTTTTCTGGGTAATAATATATCTCAGATGCCATTTAAAAATACTTTTTTTCTTCCATGTCACATGTCTACAAGACTACAACAAACAATTTTATTTTGTTTTGGAAATTGATTTAACTTAGAAAAAAAATTAAACGAGGAGTAGGATTTAAATATAAATAAAATGTTTTGATCATTTGTTGAGTTTAATCCAACACGATATAGTAAATATATGTATGAACACTCAGTTTTTACGTGGAAACCCGAAAGGGAGAAAACCACGGGACTTTTTAGGCTAATTTCCAAGCCCTCTCTTTCTCATTAGGACTCTCCTCACCATTACATAGTACATTTTGAGCTCCCATTAATGGAGTATTGTAAGCTATTCTAGTGAGAAGGAAGAAGAAGGAAAAGATCCCTAAACATGTGGGAAAGCCCCATATTTATAGGGGTAAGGGAAAGGGGGAAACCTAACCTAATGGTCCAAGTAAGCCCAAAATGGGCCCAAAGGGCCGAAACATGCCTAATAGGCTGAAATGGACCTTGTCATTCGGGCTCCAAGCTGGGGCGATGCCTTGGGCTCCTGAACAGTAACGGACCGGGGTAATATACCTCAACACAAGTCCCCCAGTTTCTTGAGTAGTGAGCGTGCGAATCTGCTCGAGAAAGTATACTCTTGCCTACGCTCTTCCTCTGCCTTCTTTGCACATGACCCCGGCTTTCGGAGCAAAGGCTTAATTCAATGCCTTGGCCTGGGTGCGAGGGATTGGGGCGTTCGGCCCACGGATGCCCGACCCGACTTCCTTTGGACGTTCGACCCTTAGGAACTCGGCCTAGATGTGTCCTTGCTCTTGATGCACGACCCGGTAGCAGACCTCGGAGTCGTCATACAGCGACAATCCTCGGCCTATTCCTAGAGACGTTCGACCTCCAGGCTGGGCTTCCTTGGACGTTCGGCCCCTTGACGGTCAGCCCACTCGATCTCTCGTTGTTGGGGCTCTGGAATTTTCCTTCTGGATGCTCGGCCCGACATGCTTAGGAAGATTAGTCCCTAGAAACCCGACCCAACTTCCTTTGGACGTTCATCCCTAGAAACTCGGCCTAGATGTGTCTTTGCTTTTGATGCACGACCCGGTAGCAGACCTCGGAGTCGTCATACAGCAACAATCCTCGGCCTATTCCTAGAGACATTCGACCTCCAGTTGCTAGGTTGGGTCTCCTCGGGACATTTCTACCTCAACATGCTTAGCCTGGGCATGCTCGGTCTCAGGATGTGTTGCGCGTCTCAAAGCCCTCGGCCTCTGGATGATAGATGTTCGTCCCCGGGCTTTGGCCTCTGGATAATGGATGTTCGTCCCCGGGCCTAGGCCACTAGACGATAGATGATCGTCTTCGGACCCTCGGCCTCCGGGGTGAAAGATGCTCATCCACGGCCCTTGGCTCTTGATGGTGTTCTTTAGATCCTCGGCCTCTGGGTGGTGGATGTTCGTCCCCGGGCCTAGGCCACTAGACGATAGATGATCGTCTTCGGACCCTCGGCCTCCGGGGTGAAAGATGCTCGTCCACGGCCCTTGGCTCTTGATGGTCTTCTTTAGATCCTCGGCCTCTGGGTGGTGGATGTTCGTCCCCGGGCCTAGGCCACTAGACGATAGATGATCGTCTTCGGACCCTCGGCCTCCGGGGTGAAAGATGCTCGTCCACGGCCCTTGGCTCTTGATGGTCTTCTTTAGATCCTCGGCCTCTGGGTGGTGGATGTTCGTCCCCGGGCCTAGGCCACTAGACGATAGATGATCGTCTTCGGACTCTCGGCCTCCGGGGTGAAAGATGCTCGTCCATGGCCCTTGGCTCTTGATGGTCTTCTTTAGATCCTCGGCCTCTGGGTGGTGGATGTTCGTCCCCGGGCCTAGGCCACTAGACGATAGATGATCGTCTTCGGACCCTCGGCCTCCGGGGTGAAAGATGCTCGTCCCCGGGCCTAGGCCACTGGACGATAGATGATCGTCATCAGGCCCTCGGCATCCGGGGTGAAAGATGCTCATCCCCGGGCCTAGGCCACTGGACGATAGATGATCGTCATCGGGCCCTCGGCATCCGGGGTGAAAGATGCTCGTCCACGGCCCTTGGCTCTTGATGGTTCTCTTTAGACCCTCGGCCTCCGGGTGGAGGATGCTCGTCCCCAAGCCCTTGGCACCAAGGTTCATTTTGAGCATCATCTCTTATCTGACTATGATCTTAATCTACACAATGAACATAGTAACGCGGCCAAATGGCCAGACAATATGTATATGTGCACAATTTTTTTTTGTAGGTCGGCTTGGGGCTCTTCCGGGCATGACGGTCGGCCTCGGAGTACGATGACCTTCAGCCCGGCCCATCACCTAGTTCTTCTGGATATGAGCGTCGACCTTGGGGCACGATGACCCTCGGCTCGGCTCAGCTCGTCCTCTAATTATTAAATTAAAGTGACGGTGGAAGCTCATCCCCGAGCTTCACTCAGCATTATTTATTTCGGGACATTTTAACCCCTAGTAAATAATGGGGATGAAAATAATACTAATAGAAATATTTCAATTACCAAATGTTTAATTGGCATATGAGGGAGTTAGAATACTTAGCTCTTGGTTGATACTCGGCCAGGGGGTCTTGTGAAGACAATTTGCTCATCCTTGCCGATTTTGACTTGGTCAAAATTGCCAAAAAGCCTCCAATCATCCAGCCTTCACATTTTGCAAGCTGGCAGCTACCCCTACTGCCAATATGTAGCCCGATTGTTACTCAGCTGCTGTAGCTGGTCGAAGGGAGCCCACGTAGTGCGCAACGCAGCGGTGGCAACGCAGCAGCGGCTGATGACGGCCGGGACAAGGCTGCCTCAGGCGGCATTAGTGGCGGAGCGACAAAGACCGGTGGCGTGCACGTGGTCCCAGCCAGGACTCCGGCATAACCGGCGAAACTTCCCTAACCTCGAGCCGTGGGGGTGCACTGGTTTACGGTTGTCACTCTTGGAGCTCTCAGCGGCCATTAATGGCGGACCCTCTCTGAGGTTCGAGCAGCGAGGGGGAGCTGAGGCCGGCGGGCGCACCGCGACGGAGGCGTAGAGCGGCGCTGCTAGCGATGACGAGGGCCGGAAAAGCTAGGCGGCTTTTGCATCGTATATCAGCGAGCTCTTGGTGGAGCGCGCGGTGGTACGGACGGCTGCTCCGGCCACGGTCTATAAAATTCCAGATCTGGACTTCATCTCTTCTTCTTTTTTCCCAGAACCTTTCTTTCTGCTTTTCTTCTTCCTCGGTCGGTTGGACGGAGCTGCTGGCGGCATATCCAGACCTTCCCCAAACCAAAATTCCAGATTTTTTCTTTCTTTTTTTCTTTGCTAGAATCAGTCCACTACGTACGAATTTTTCGTAGAAACTCAAGAACAGTAGAACACCGAATCTTTTTGGACAGATTCCCACAGACGGCGCCAGTGTTGAGTTTAATCCAACACGATGTAGTAAATATCACTGTTCTAAAAATCGTTCTAGGCGCCCGATTAGTCCCCGCCTAGGCGCTAGGCGGTGGTCGGGCGCCCCGATTTTGGTCTAGGCGCTCCGACTAATTGAATCGGCGCCTAGGTGAATTCGTCGGCCGTCTAAGGCGCCTAGTTGACCGCCCAGAGCGCTTAATGGGACGCCTAGACGTCTAGATTCATCGAACAATTTTTTTTTATTTTAGTATTCTAAGAAATATGTACCTTTAACTTTGAGAATGCATGTGAAGAAAGCTACTACTGAATAAGTGAGTAGATATAATATATTATTAAATGTGATAACTCTATCATTCATGCATGTTAATGCGTATGTGTGTGTATATATTTTTTATACACACACAAACACAACATTACCAATCATATTTATGCAAAAAAAAAATTGATAAAACTACAATTTCAATGTCTCCGATTAGTTCCCGCCTAGGCGCCCGCCTAGCCGACTAGGCGCTAGGCACTGGGCTGGCGCCCGACTAGCGCCTAGCGCCTTTTAGAACATTGGTAAATATATGTATGAACACTCAGTTTTTACGTGGAAACCCGAAAGGGAGAAAACCACGGGACTTTTTAGGCTAATGTCCAAGCCCTCTCTTTCTCATTAGGACTCTCCTCACCATTACATAGTACATTTTGAGCTCCGATTAATGGAGTATTGTAAGCTATTCTAGTGAGAAGGAAGAAGAAGGAAAAGATCCCTAAACATGTGGGAAAGCCCCATATTTATAGGGGTAAGGGAAAGGGGGAAACCTAACCTAATGGTCCAAGTAAGCCCAAAATGGGCCCAAAGGGCCGAAACATGCCTAATAGGCTGAAATGGACCTTGTCATTCGGGCTCCAAGCTGGGGCGATGCCTTGGGCTCCTGAACAGTAACGGACCGGGGTAATATACCTCAACATCATTATTATTTGTTTTTTAAAATATGACTTATTCACTTTTAAGTAGTCGGATTTAAATATAAATAAAGTGTACAAATACGATCATTATTAGTTTTACTTGTGCAACCCTTCCAAATTTTATTAATTTAATGTTTATAAGATATACATAGTATTACATACTCTTTTTGTCCCGTATTTAAGTTCCTACTTTCTTTTTTGGATGTCCCAAACAAGTTCACACTTTCTTATTTAGCAAACAAATATACACTAAAATGGTGCCAAAGCAGTAAAAAAATTAGTGTTAAATAGTGTCAAAACAGTACATTCTACAATAAAATTTATCCCCCAATAAATTTATTTTCTTAATATGTGTGAAGTCAAACCAGGAACTTAATTAAAAACAGGAGTGAATATTTAATAGTATGAAAATAATTTAATTAAGCAGTTAAAGTTACCTCAATACCGCTTATGTTATGGTGAAAAAATGATCGGTGACATGTAATATTAGGTGAAAGTAGAAAAAGATTTAAAATTTTGAACAAATTGTTGCTTTCAATTTTTGGAAGGGTCATTCTGTATGAATGGTATTCTCTTGAATACCTACAATTTTGAATATTTTTTTTTATATTCTCTTCCAATGTTTATGGTATTCGTTCGATCAACTCTAAATCTATTTTTATAAAAAAAACATGTCATGAAGTTCATCTTAATTATGATAGTGTGTCGATGGTCCGTCCTCCTTCTCAAACACCGTCATGAAGTGAACGAGTTTACAATTTTTACTTTGATTTCATATCAATTTTTATACTTATTATGTTAGATAAGTACTCTGAGTTTTTGTGTGTGTTTTGTCAGTCTTGTGATGTTTAGTTTGATTAATTATGGCTAGAGGTATTGAGGCTTATAGAATCGAACAAATTTGGTGAAATCTCTAAAGTTCTTGCACGATTAGCGAAAATTTTGTCACACTTCAAAAGTAGCGGAATGATTTGCTCAAGAGATAGTATTATGAATAGATATCACCCTCTGTCAATCAAATTATATCTACATATAACTCCGTATGATATTAATTCATTAACTCCCTCAACTAATTGTCTAATCGGCTGTGGATAAAAAATGAAGTGAATCTTTTTAGTAAAAGACATTTCCTTTTTCTTTTTCCTTATTAACGTGACAAGTTTTGCTGAGATTATATTACTAGCAGTACTAGCAGCTCTTGTTTGAAAATTATAAGATTCAGAGCTTTCTATTTAAATCAAATGATTTAAGAATCTCTTGTTTGTCGATGATGTTAAAATGTTGAATTCGAGCCCCCATACTTGAAGCAGTCGTCTTTGTTGACACTACTCTAAATCATTTAATCTAGTTGTTTTTCTAAAACTTTGATTACAAAGAGGTGCAAATAAGGATGCACTGGGACGGGACCGTGTCGAGCTTCGGGACAGGACTGGGCGGGCTTAAGGAGTTCAGGCCCGGTACCGGCTCGGGTTTGTACTGGTACCGGGTCGGGCCGACCTAAAAAAGACGAACAGTACCGGGCAGGAGTGCAGGACTGGGCATTCAATTTAAAAAGTAGTGCTCTCGGGCCCATACCCTGCCTAGGCCCGGACCAAAAAACTAGCCCGAAGCCCGCCCTTATAGTCACCTGGACGGGCCCCGGGATGGGACCGGGCCTATACAGTAAAGGGTCGGGCCGGGTCTAAACAGTACCGGGCCCGGGTCAGGCCGACCCGTCCCAATCCATCTCTAGGTGCAAGCCGGCAAGGTGCACGAATATCTTCTCTACCAACGTGAAAAGTCGTAAGTTTGCCTTAAAAGGGAACTTCACTCTCCATTGTAAATCATTAAAATTTTAATACAATTCATATTTCCATGAATAAATAAATACTTCTCGCTCGATTTGATTTTGATAAATGATTATAGTCTATTTGGTTATGAAATAAAACGAATGGGCTTACCACGGCTGACTGTCTTAGATCACGGACAGGGGACGGGTATGTAGGGTCTATGGTGGTGGTTAGGGCTGTGCACGGGTCGGGTTCGGGCGGGTCGGGTTTGCGAACCCTAAACCCGTTTGGGTTTTTTAATTTAAATATTAGGCCCGACCCTTTGATATTTCAAATTGGGTATTTCGGATATTTTTTAGTTGGATATTATCGGATATCGGGTCGGGTTTCGGATATTTCGGTTATATTAAAAATAAATTATAATCGGATAATTAAAATGTTTAAATGTCACTTTGACAAAAATTGTACACACTAGTGCACTAAAATTCCAAATTACACAAATAATTTAACACAAGTTGCACAAATAATTACACAAATAATTGAACATAAGTATTAACTTAACATATTCAAAGTACACACTACATAATGTAATATATTTCGGATATTTCGGTTATATTATAACACATTATAATTGGATAATTAAAGTGTTGGAATGCCTCTTTGATAAAAAATTGTACATATTAGTGCACTACACATTCAATTTAAACAGATAATTTAATACAAATTGCACAAATAATTACACAAATAATTGAACACAAGTATTAATTTAAATATTCAAAGTACACACTAACCTATATTTCAGATATTCGGGTGGGTCGGGTTGGGATTTCACAAACCCTACCCGCCACCCGGTCTAGGCCCAACACTAATCGAATTTTCGGTTTCTGGTTTTTCGGGTCAGATATCCACTTCGGTTCGGATAGTATCCGGAAAAAATATCGGGTTTTTCGGGTGGGATCGGGTTTTGCTCGGCCCTAGTGGTGGTCTGGTGGACTATTTTTTCGGATTTGTTTTCATTGAACAACAAAAATTCTGAGAAAATGTCTTTTACCAGGCTAGGGATAGTAGGGGCCGATCATAATGTCAGACTGCTTAAACCAATAACTATGATAGAAGTAAAGAAGGATATGTTTGCTATGCATCCTCACAAAGCCCCAAAGCGCTTGGCCTAGACCGACTAAATCCTTGGATTTTCAACATTACAGGGATATTGTGGACCATGAGGTAGTTAATTATTGTCGGAAAATATGTCTGAGGATCGATTGTCACGAGAGGTTAATACTCCGTATTACAAATTTACCAAAAAACAAACAAGTTATTGCCTAATAGGATGAAAGGCATTCTACAAAACTGTTTTTCTGTTTATAAGCACTTCATTTTTTTTATGAGGCTAGAAAGGTGCGGGGAAAGAGGGGTTCGTGACACTTAGCTTGATATGAGCAAGGAGACCCGATTAGAAATTCTAGTTTAGAATCATAGCAACAGCGAGGACACTTCCAGGTGGAAGAAACTGACGTTAAGAGGGCTCAAAATATATAAATGTGGACAGAGTTGTGGGCTCCAAAATATGAAAGAGAGTCCAGAGATGAACATCACGTGACATGGGAGGAAATTTCATACGAGGAGGCAATGCAACTTGTACCACAGACTCGGGTGCATGCATAACCCAAACATATGGGATAGGGGGCGTGTTGTCATGGGCAAATTAAAGGAATAACACTGGCCTGGGAAGTTGTGGAAATAGATACGTATGCTCAATTGATCACTTCCAAATTGGCGGATGAAGAAGGAAGTTCCTATCTTGATCTTATATTTGGTGATATTAAACATTTTTTTCAGTTTGAAGCTTATATGTTTGTTATCATTCGTGAATCATGTAGGCATGTAGCTCATAACTTAATTACAGTAGTCATTTCTAAGGCGGATGGTAGTTATTTTTATCGTGATCTCAATTGCTTGACACTAGTGATGGACCCGGGCCGGGCCGGTTCCGGTTCGGGCCTGAGCCCGGCCGGCCCGGGTGGTTGGCGGTTCCGGGTCGGGTCGGGCCACCCGGCGGTTTACCGGGCCGGGTCGGTTCCGGGCTTTTTAAATTTTTTTTTGTTGATTCTTAAATTGATGTACAGAATGATATTAAAAAAATTCAAGTATATTTATTTCAAATAAGAAGTACAAGTGAGAATTAGGATGAATTTAATAAATGTAATAAATTTTGTAATAAATAATCAATCGGAATCTCCGTCTTCGGTTGTTTCCTCCATAAAGTGGCGGGTGGGAGCGATGCTCATTTCTTGAGTTCATCGTTGGGCCTTCAACCAATCGTGGAAGCAAACTAGTGTCTCAAGAGAGCTCATACCCAATCTCGTTCTATAATCGGTTAGGACGTAGCCGGCCGCACTAAATTCTTGTTCCACGTCAATTGTTGATATCGGCATTGCTAGCACTTGCTTAGCCATCTTTGATAAAATCGGGAACGTTCTTTCATTTTCCTTCCACCACTTAAGAACGTCAAAGTCATCTCCAACTTCATAATCAACATTCAATGTTAGATACAAAGAAAGCTCGTTAACTGAGCTTTGTTCATTAGCGGGAGTTGCTTTACTTTTTTTCGAAAGAGAACCAAATGCAGATTTTAAAAGTGATTTTCCTTTAGATGAAGAAGATGTTCGCGGCAGGGGAGGGGGTGCATTACCATATTGTGCATAAAATTCATTATACAATTGATGAAATAAATTACTAACCTCGTTGAATTCTTGTTTATGGTCTATGGGATTATCATCGAACTCTTGAGTTGGAAAAAAAGAAGCATAATAGTAATCTATACAAGTTCCCAAGTAAGCAAGTTTATAACGAGGATCAAGAATAAATGCAATACCATATATAAGCGGAATATGTGAATAATATTTTAAAAAAAAAAATGTTTCATGAAATCACAAAAATAACTAACGTAAGCGGCATCGGCAAATTCACAAAAAACGCCGGCGAGATTAACAGATTCAACAAAAAATTCGTTTGCGGTAGGTTTATAAACATGACTAAAAGTTTGAGTTGTATTATTAAAATATACCAAAACATTAACAATTTTTTCACAAGTGTCGATGTCAGACGGGATTATAATATAGTTACAAGATTGTCTTAAAAAACCAGGAAAATGGTCTTTATATCTAATAAGTACTTTAATTAAGTTATAAGTACTATTCCAACGAATAGACAAATCTTTAGGAAAATCACAATAATTGACACGTCTATCCTTCATATATTGCCGCCATTGCATTTTTAGTGGAGTATTAGCCCAAATCAATTTAATTCTCGCCTTCACTACCTCCAAAGCATTTCCTAATGCCGCTAACCCATCTTGTACACACAAATTTAGAATATGACATGCACAACGTTGATGAAAAAACCTACCATCAATGTAGAAGCACCACACGATTCACGCAATCTAGGTATAGCAGCAGTATTATTACTAGCATTATCAAAATCTACAACAAACACCTTATCAATCAAATTATATTCAATTAAAATACGCTCAATGAGAAGATAAATATTATCAGCAGTGTGACGATAATTGAATTCACGAAAAGCAAGAACACATTTATGCATATTCCAATCATCATCAATATAATGTGCAGTAAGACCCAAATAATATAAATGATGATAAGTATCCTCCCATATATCGCTACAAATACTAACACGTCCCTCAAAGTTTGCGAAAAATGTTTGTAATTTTTCTTTTTCCAAAGTTATATTGCCTTATAACTTCTTTTTTAATCGTTTTGCGACTATAATTTCTAAATTGAGGATTTAAAGTACCTTGAACATAATCTCTTAAAGCAAGAATTTGGGAAAAAAATATAAGGTAATTTTCTTCAACAATTAAATGAGACATACCAGTCAAATGTTTTTTTATCATCATAGGAGAAATTTCCAAAGGGTTGAGAATTTGCAAACCTCGATATTTGTGTTTGCTTCCCCTTGCCTTTGTCTATTTTCGCATACTTCACTAAGTGTGCGGACTTAGGATGCCTTGTCAGACTCCCGTATCCGCCAGAAGTTCCCAAGCTATACTTTTTGTTGCAATGATTGCAACTTGCGTACCATTTATCGGTATTTTTGTCTTTCCTTTTTGTAAAATTGTTTTCAATAATAGGATATTTAGATTTGTTACCAATTTGGGATGAACCGCCCTCGTCCTCCAACTCTTGCTCATCATCCGGGGTGCCGTCGTCCCCCCCCCCCCCCCCCCCCCCCGTCCTCCTTCGCATCCTCATCCTCGAGCTCATCTTCGTCAATGGTTGTCGGGAATTGTTGTTCTTGTGCAAAGCGTGGATCATTTTGGGGCAATAGGTTTTGTAGTTGGTCGTTGGACATCGCCACATCATCTCTTCGTTGGTAATCCGTTTCAAAATCGTTTCGACTTTGAAAAGAAGACTCGGCCCGCGCTTTACCTTTGCCTTTGGGTGAAATAGGACGAGTCGTCGCAATCTCCCTTTCCCGGTTGCGTTGGAGATTACCCATATCTACATAATGTCTACCATGGTCCATCTTTAAAATTGAACAAATATTAAATGATATCAAATATTTTATATGAGTACAATAGTAATAATAAAATGTGACTAAGAAAATTATAGCAAATTCGAACTAAAATATGAGTATATCAAATGTAACAATTTTTTTCCTTGAAAAAAACAATCGAACTACTTCTAATTAATACTTTAATGACAAATGTACCAATTACTAATATTAATATGAGAAATGTAACAAGTAACTAGTTTTTTTTTACTTTAAAGAGAAATGTAGAGAAATGTAACAATTAACTAATTTTTTTCTTTAAAGAGAAATGTAGATTGTAGAGAAATGTAACAATTAATTAGGTTTTTTTACTTTAAAGAGAAATGTAGAGAAATGTAATAATTAACTAGTTTTTTTTACTTTAATGAGAAATGTACCAATTAAGTAATATTAATATGAGAAATGTAACAATAAACTAGTTTTTTTTACTTTAATGAGAAATGTACCAATTAACTAATATTAATATGAGAAATGTAACAATTAACTAGTTTTTTTTTCTTTAAAGAGAAATGTAGATAAATGTAACAATTAACTAATATTAATATGAGAAATGTAACAATTAACTAGTTTTTTTACTTTAATGAGAAATGTACCAATTAACTAATATTAATATGAGAAATGTAACAATTAACTATTTTTTTTCTTTAAAGAGAAATGTAATAATTAACTATTTTTTTTCTTTAAAGAGAAATGTAACGATTAACTAGTTTTTTTTTACTTTAATGAGAAATGTACCAATTAACTAATAGGAAAATGAGAAATGTAATAATTAACTACTTTTTATAGTTTAAAGATAAATGTAGAAAAATTAACTAATATTAATATGTAACAAGTAACTAATTTTTTTTTTCTTTAAAGAGAAATGTAGAGAAATGTAACAATTAACTAATTTAATAGAAAAATGAGAAGTGTAACAATTAACTAGTTTTATTTTATAAAATGTATGAATGTGTATAAGTATATATAGTATATATAATGTGTAAATATATTATAAGTAATATATAATATAATGTTTATAGTATATAATATATAAGTATATTACTATAAGATGAGTAATACACTTATACTTAATACTTTAATATATATATATATATATATATATGTATATATTAACTAAATGTAATATGTAAATATAAGTAAATAACAATAGTATAGATAATAACTAAATATCAAGTAAATATTAATGTGTATAAGTATGTATACTATATATAATGTGTAAATATATTATAAGTAATATATAATATAATGTTTATAGTGTATAATATATAAGTATATTACTATAAGATGAGTAATACACTTATACTTAATACTTTAATATTATATATATATATATATATATATTAACTAAATGTAATATGTAAATATAAGTCAATAACAATAAGTATAGATAATAACTAAATATCAAGTAAATATTAAGTTGATAACAAGTATATATTAAGTAGATAATAAACAGTAGTAATATAATATATGTATTTATAAGTAGATAATTAATATATAAGTAGATATAGGGGTGGACCGGTTCCGGTTCGGGCCTGGGCCCAGCCGGGCCTCGGTTCAGGAATGGGAGGCCCGGAACCGGCCCGGGTAACCCCCGGGTCCTGGCCGGGCCGGGCCGGACCGGGCCTCGGTCCAATATAATTTTTTTTGGGGGCTTCTCCTAATTAACTCCCAACCCTCCCCCCTCACCCCCAAACCACCCCAAACCACCTCAAATGGCCCAAACTAACCAGCCCAACCCAAACACTTAAAAAAATTCAAAAAAAAAAAAATAAAAAAATGGCCCAGACCGGCCGGGCCGGTTCACTAAATAGCAGGCCCGGGCCCGGACCGCTATCCCACTGGGCCGGGTGGCCCGAACCGGGGCACTAACCGGTTCACCGGGCCGGGCCCGCACAGTAGCGGGTCGAGCCGGTTCCGGGCCGGTTGGCCCGGCCTGAGTCTATGCCTAAGTAGATATAATAATTATATAACTAATATATATATGTAGAAAGAATTGGAGAAGATGATTGAATATGAGAGAATAGAGAATTAGAGAGTAGGAAGAGTTGTAGGAGAAGAGGTGTAAAAAATGTATAGAAAATAGGAGTATAAATAGGTTTTTTTGGATCTCCCACCCCCACCCCCCCAAACCCCCCGGACCCCCCCTCCTATGCCTCCAACGGCTATAGAGCCATTTGGGAACAGTCCCAACGGCTAGGAGCCTAGGAGGGTTTAAATATTAAAAAAAAAAAAAAAAAAAAAAAAGTGGCCGTTTTGGCCCGAACCGGGCCTAGACCGGCCGGGCCAGTTCATCTTTTCTCAGGCCCGAGCCCGGACCGCTATATGACCGGGTCGGTTGGCCCAAACCGGCAGCCAGACCGGTTCCCGGGCCGGGCCAGGTACAAACAGTACTGGTCCGGGCCGGTTGGCCCGACCCGAGTCCACCCATACTTGACACAAATTGTGAACGAAAGTTGAGAAGACATTCTTGAACATTGGTTGAGATAGATTCTAGCTTATCACAAATCACAATGCTCCACAAAATATGACAATTTTTCCACGCATAATCCACAACTAAATAGATCATGAATATGTCACAATTTCACAACCCGTTCACGAGTAAATTTATGGATAACGTTACTATGCTCTACAACTGACACAGTGCAAATGTTAACAAAAAATGTAACCATTTCTCAATTTCGTGAAGTTCATATCTGCAAGGTGATTGTACCTACTCAATCACCTCTTTGGACATGTTACCGCTTGGCTCGCAAGCTCGCCCACAAGCATGAAATAGGGCTTTAAACAACACCAAACTACCAACCCATCATTAAGTGGGTAAGACTGTCCAGCAGCGGGAGTAAACACATATCTGCCACGGGGTGGGCGGCTGGCCATTTGCCTAACAGTTCGTTGCAACAAACAGTAGGCATCTAACAAACAATACCACATCTTTGGTTAAGAATAAATGTTTCAATTAAAAAAATAACACAGCAATACATTACCAATGCTGAACTATGCCACAGCCTACATGCAAGGATCTTAACCGAAGGCCTCCCAATACCATAACAATTACATCAGATCAGGTTGCCTTATATTACATTTCTCTCTATTTTTAGCTTTTCCTTCGACTAGTTGCCTCAATCTTTAGCAATCATTTTTCTGCCTGAGACTAAGAAACTGCATGAATCAAAGATGTGATATACTTGACGCCAAGTTTCTTGTGTAAGGTATCTCCATCATATTGTCTACCTGAATCTTATACTCCATACCGCTTTAGAACCTTACTTAGACTGGGCATTACATTATACGCTTGATAAGATCTTCTGAGTTCGATGATTGATCCAACCTGAAGAGAAGGGAATTATTAAAATAGATTTGGGGTGAGGCATCAGTATCAACAAGTCTAATTAGAGTACAGAAACATGTTTAGTTTGCTGTAAAAAATAACAAGGCATCTTCATCCTGCACTTGTTACAGTGATGGTAATTTAAAGATCTGTAATTATCTGATTATGAAACGGGCCTTCTTTGTTGGAGCACACGATTCATAAATGGCCCACAACAAAATTAATTCTAGGAAAACAGACCTCCCTCGAACTACTGAATAAAGAATTTAGTAATATAAATAACCAGTAATTCATAGAATTTTTTATCCAATACAATGTACAGATAGTCCTAATACTCCCTCCGTATTCTTTTGTTTGCTACACTTTTCTTTTCGGGATGTATTTCAATTTTCGCTACACTTTCCTTTGTTGGCAAGTTTTCCCTTTAAAATTACTCGACTACCCTTTTCTACATTTTTGTTCTCTTTCATACTTTTCCACCCTCTTTCCTACTTTTTCTACACTATTCATTACCCCTACTACTCTTCCCTTAACATTGTGTCGAGCCCTATTGTAACAAATATTTCAATACAGAGGGAGAATTAGGTAATGACATATCGATGTTCAAGCTAGTACATCCAAGTATAAGGAAGCAAAGAGTCAATGATGAACTTACAAGTATTACAACAACATCCAAGCCTTCGTCCAAAAAACATAAGGAAGCAAAGAGTCGATTTTGAACTTACAATTATTAGAACCGATGTAAATCCTATTGAAAACCCACTATTTATTTTCCGTAGATAATGGTCAAGAATGGTAGATGTAGTAGCCAATATGCTTAGCATGACACCACCTGCACAGCACTCGGCATATTCAATCCAAAAATAAAATACCAGGAGGGAGGTAGTGGGTTTATATAAACAATTTCAACTATATGGATACCCCAGAACCGTGTAGACGCCTGGACTTTTGTCAAGTACTCAATTGTGGCTCTCCCAGGCTTTATATTTGGAACTCTGGCACTAATCTTGTTCAAGTAGTCAGCAATTTCCTTTGGCGTGTTGGCCTGGAACAAGTTTACAAACACAAGTCAGCTTTTAAATTGTAGAAGAACGTAATCAGATGTATAATACCCTCAGATATTTATACCACGACTGTATGCAATAAAAGTACAGGGCGAATCATAGTCTATCTCACAGGACAGTGAACCAAATATGAAGAGACACTACATGAAAACAATATATTTTTATCTCTGAAATAGTAAATTATTGAAGAACAACTTACAATGTCAAATATATTGAGCAGAAACACAAAGAATGCATATAGTGTATAGTAAACCCATGGCCCTGCTCCAAGAGAGGTTTCAGGATTTAGAACATCACTCACATGTTCCCAAAACCGTGAACCAAGGATTCTGCCAAAATAAATAAACAAAATTGTGCCATAAATCTCTGGAATATCTATTGCTTGCAAGATACACGTCAACAACCATTACAAAGAAAACCACACCACCTTGTCGAAAATTCAAGATTTGAATAACTAAACAAAGTTGATGGGAAAAAAATATAATGTAACCTTGCAATGATTGATGGGAAGGCAAATAGATAAGCAGTAGCGAGAATAGGTTGCATCCCTGCTGGATTTATATTGAATGGTATGTAAGGCTCAATCTCAGTATCTGTAGGATTTTCTCTGTACCAAGGCATGAATGTCACTATTAGTTTCTATGATGACTAGTAACAACAAAATAGACAGCATTCCAGTTATTATATCTTTCAAGAAATTTAGATCGAAGAAAAGCCTGGTTGCAATCAATAACAGTACCAATTATAACTTATAAGTGGAAAAGCTAATTTCCAGAATTTAGTCCTTGAATTGAAACTTACCCGTAAGCCATCACCATTAAAAAAAGGAAGAGAAGCACCAAACAATGGGAAAGTAAAGATGATCAGTACGTGCGATGATTTCTTATAATAGAAAACCAAATGCAAAACCATTCAAGATTTCAAGCCCATGAAGCCTAGGCCTAGGCCCGCCTAGCTACATAAGGTAGACCCCCCTCTCCTCTCCTTATTTCTAATAAAGTGGAAAGACATGAAGTTCTTTTACTTCTTTAAGATATTATATATTAGTCGTAGGCTTGTTACTAGTAACTCCGCCATGAGATCATTTTTGGTATCATGCCTGTCCGAAACCAGGAGGGTAACTGGTAAGCATGTGATGGGCACTGATGGCCAACAGTATCACTTAGTCACATCACATAACATGAATCAAAATTATCATGTATCAATTCATGTTAGTCGACCCCACAATCTTTTGAGATTAAGGCTTGGATGTTGTTGTTGTTGTAGACTTGTCACTAGTAACTTAAGTGTTTCATGTTT